CTTGTCCCCTGTTGGGAGCGGGTAGCGAGAACGGGATGTCCCAGGAGAATGACGGTGCTCATTCGGGGATCCACGTGGGGACTGGGGGCACCCAGAGGCTGGGGAGTGTGAGGGAAGGCTTTCCAGAAGAGGGATACTTAGGCGGAGCCCAGGCAGTCTAGCGTCCTTAGTACGAGCTAAGGGGTGGGGTTGGGGATAGATTGGAACAGAGCGGACAAAGGCAGTCAGATCCGAGGTATCTTGGGTGTCCAGGGGAGACTCTGCTGAGGTACTGGGGGGAGTGAGAGGCCGAGAGCTGGTTCAATAGTAGGGACCAAGACTGAGACCGCCAGACGGGAGCTCGGGGTCCAGGGGGAAGGGTGGAGACCAGGAGCCAGGAGCCAGGGGAGGAGCAGAAGGGCAGGGAAAGGGAGGCAACAGGCAGGGAGGCCTGTGGTTGAAAGATTATGCACTCTGGGTGCCTTCTCCTTCCAGATGCCTGTGTAACAACCACAACAATAACGGTGGCTAACAGGGAGCACTGGTGTGTGCCAGGCAGTGGTCTAAGCACTTATAGGCATTAAGGCTCCATCTCCAAACATTCACTTCTCCACTCATTCACTTAGCCACCAGATGTTTGTTGAGTGCCTACTATGTGCCAGACATGTTCCAGGAGCTGGGAATACAGTTATGAGTAAAGCAGACAAACAAAAAAGAATTCCGTTCTTTACCCTGAAAGAATTCCATTTTCTCCTTAGTAGGCTTGTATTTCAAAAACAGCAGCAACAACAATAACAACAACAACAAAAAAAAAAAACTCGGATCTTATTATATTTTGAATCCCATCAGTAAAAGTTTTGTGGAAATTTGTTTTCTCTCTTGGTATATAAGTACCTCCATGACAGTTGTAATTTTGTCTCTTGACTCACAAAGCCTATTTTACTATCTGGCTTTTTACAGACACAAAGTTTACAAATTCTGGTACAGACCCAGGAGGTGAGGAAATTATTTGCTTGAATATCTGGGACCAAAGGAAAGAGCTAGTGCAAAGTCCTGGGGGCAGGAACTGGTGGGGCCTATCAAGGAGGCCAGTGTGGCTGGAGTCCTGCGAACAAGGAGAGCAGTCAGAGAAACCCAGCTAGATGGCACAAGACCTCATACTGATACTGGATTTTTTTTTTCTAAATCGTTATTGCTTTTGAGTATTAAGTTTGATTTTGTACACTGATCTTTTTCCCCAGCCCTCTCGGTTTATTAATAATTTGGGGGGAGGTTCATTTGCATTTGATTTAGAAGGAGGTTGTATCTTCTGCAAGTGATGTATTTTGTGTCTTCCTGCTCATATATAACTCAGCCTCTTCCTTTCTTTCCCTTGGTACTCCCCCTCCTTGCCTCCCCACTCTCTCTTCATCAGCTACTTCTCCCCTCCTTTCCCCACTTCCCCTTCCCCTGCTCTCCTCCTATCCCCCCTTTCTACTCAGCAAATCCTTTCCCTTTCTGATTCTCTTCTTTCCCTTCTCACTCCTTTTTTCTTCCCTTCCCATCTCTTCTCTTCCCTTTCCTTCCCTTCTCTCATAAAGTGAGAGTTTCAGTTTTCAAAAGAGCCTAAAGGCTTCCCCAGGATCAGGGGCAGAGGCTTAGGCCCCTGACTGCCTGACTGAGCCTTGATGTGGGTGTGGGGACTCAGAGGGCCACACATAGTCTCCAACAAGGGGAAATGGAGTGGATGTCTGTGTCCATCAGAAGATGTTCTGTCACGAGGAACAAAATGCTGATGTCAGGTGGCTCTGAGAGTAAAGGAGACAGGTGGATGATTGTCCCAGGGCTGTCCAGGGGGGCAGGTGGGTAACCCAGGATGTCTATTCCACCCCTCTGTGCTGTGTCTTCCTGGGGATCAATGTGGTTATAGTCTGGCCCCTGTGAGCTTCAAGGAAAATCTGCACCACCCCAGTGAGCCCATCTATTTCCATTTGCTCTCAGAAGAATGGAGGATGGGATATTTCTGCTAGAAGCTTCTTGAGAAGAATGAGGAAGTCTCTTCTTCTGAGGTCCCCATAAATGTCTCCTGAATCTCCCAGCTGACACTGGGTCACCTGCTCTTCCTGACCCAACAGTATCTCTACAGTTAGGCAATGGTGGGGTGGCATCTGGAAATACCTTGGGCCTCTCAGAGATCTGTGAGCACCTAAGGGAGGCAAGTAGTTATAGAAGGAGGAATCTCTGCTTGGGCAGCAACCACCTAAGACACCTGCCAATCACTGGGTCCCGGGTATAGATACATATTTATGAATATAACATGAGTTTGCTGCTATCCAAATGGGATCACACTTTGCACATCGTTTATCATTTTTCATTTTTTACTTAATTGTGTGTCTTCCAGATCATTCCATTTCAGGACAGGTTTGCTCTATTGTATTATTTTAATTGCTTCAGCATTTTCTTTAGTATGACAATACCTGTAAGAAATTACTACTTAGCGGCTCAAAACAACACAGTCTCCTACAGTTCTTTTGGTCACAAGTCCAAAATGAGTCTCTTGGCGGTCCAAAGGAGAATATTTCCTGGCTTTTCACAGTTTCTAGAGGTCACCTGCATTCCTCGGCTCATGGCTCCTTCTTCCACCTTCAAAGGCAGCAACATTGCATCTCTACGATCCTTCTTCTGTAGCTACATCTCCCTCTGCTTAGAGTCAGGAAAGAATCTCCCTTTTGCAGGGCTCAAGTGGCTAGATAATCCAGAGTGCTATCCCCATCTCAAGATCCTTAATCACACCTGCAAAGCTTCCTTTACAATGTAAGGTAATATATTCACAGGTTTTAGGGAGGTGAACACAGGTGTCTGGTGTCTGATTGAATCCCTGTTTTCGATTCTTCTGGGTATATGCCTTGCAGTGGGACTCCTGGATCACATGGGAATTCTTCATGATCAGCCACCACACTTTTCCACAGTTGCTGTCCCATTTTACATCCCTACCAGACTATTATGAACAATTATATGCCCCTAAATGGGATAATCCAGAAGAAACAGATAAATTCCTGGACCCTAAACAACCTACCAAGATTGAGTTTCTATGTTTTTTTTTTTTGGGGGGGGGTGGGTACTAGGGATTGAACTCTGGGGCACTCACCCACTGAGCCACATCCTCAGCCCTATTTTGTATTTTATTTAGAGACAGATTCTCACTGAGTTGCTTAGCACCTTGCTTTTGCTGAGGCTGGTGTTGATCTCTTTTTAAAAAAAATATTTATTTATTTTTATATGGTGCTGAGGATCAAACCCAGTGCCTCACATGTATGAGGTAAGCACTCTACTGCTGAGCTATAACCCCAGCTCTGGCTTTGAACTCTTGATCCTCCTGCCTCATCCTCTGAGCCACTGGGATTATAGGCGTGTGCCAAGAACCTGGCTTCTATTTTTTTTTTTTTGATTCAGTTTTGATAGATTATGCTTCTAGGAATTTTTCCATCTCATCTAGGTTGTCCATGTATTGATATTATTTGTTCATTATGTTTTCTGTTAATCCTTTGTATTTTTGTAGAGATGGGAGTAATGATTCCACTTCCATCATCTTCATTTTTGAAAAACAACTTTACTGGATATAACATTCTGGACTGGCAGTTTTTTCTTTCAGCATTTTGAATAAGTTGTCCACTGCCTTCTGGTCACCATTTCCACCCCTAGTACTGGGGATTGAATCCAGGTCTCGTACATGCTAGGCAAGTGCTCTACCATTGAGCTATATCCCCAGACTGACCTTCTTTCCTTTAGATGGAGTTTTGCTAAATTTCTGAGGCTGACCTTGAATTTGCAATTCTGCCTCAGCCTCCAGAGAAGCTGGAATTACAGGGAGGTGCCACTGTGCTTGGCATCCACTTGGTTTTATAAAGGTTTTTAAATTGGTTCTTTTAAAATCTTCACTCTTTATGTATTCTTTGATTTTGTTGTTAGCATACCTTCTATTAATCATTTAAATATGCTTTTATTTAGTTCTTTTAACATATATATTTTTTTACACCAAGGATTGAATCCAGGTATGATTAACCGTTGAGCCACATTCCTAGTCCTTTTTTATATTTTTGAGACAGGATCTCTGTAAGTTGCTCTAGGGTCTTGCTAAGTGACTGAGGCTGGCTTTGAACTCAGAATCCTCCTGACTCAGCATCCCGAGCTGAGCTGCTGGGATTGCAGGCATGTGCCACCACACCCTGCTCTTTTAATGTACTTGAAATAGCTGTTTTGAAGTCTTTATCTACTATGCCCAATATACTGGACCCCTCAAAGACAGATTCTTTACCAACAATATTTCCCTTGTGAATTGGTAAAATTTCCTATTTCTTTACCTGATATATATATATATATATATATATATATATATATATATATATATATATATATATATATATATATATTTAATGGAAAAGAAGGCATCTTAGATAATATATTGTAGCAAATTCAGACAGTGATTTCTGCCTTCCTCCTTGCTGACTTGTGTTGTTGTTTGTTTGGTCATTTGCTTATTTATTTAGTGTCTAGGGTGAGATATTTCTGTGTTATCTATTTTCCTGTCAATTTTCAGTCTCTAATATCCCTGCTCAGACCCGACCCCTCCTTGTGCTTATTTTTATGTTCTAGCCTGGCATTCCGGAGTTAATTTATGGGTGAGTGAAGCCACTCATTGGTGGATGCTTGCCTCTAGTCAGTTTTATTATTTTCACTATTGGTCATTGGATGTATGTGCAGCATGAATTCTGCTTTCACAGCCTTGGGAATTTACTATTTCCCCACAGGTTCAGCCAGGAACTAGTGGCTTAGACAGTCCCCATGCATTTGCTCCTGAGAAGACACAGGCTTGGGCTTGTGCACAGCCTTTCAGTACATTAGGGATGAGTGTGATTTTATTTTTAATCCTGGCTTATTAGGAGTCACCCCTGGGTCAGAGTAACTTTTTGGTGAAAGGTTGTACTTCAATCCATTGAACCAGGAAAGTTTCTGCCTTTTGCAGATCCCTGTGTAGCTTGGGAAATGCATTTAAATAGACTCCACTTTCTGTTCCTGATTTGGTGCAGCCTAGTGCATGTACAGTGTTTTAGGCCCTTAAAGCTAATTGTGAGCATAGGAGAAATTTTCTTGGTGGTTTCTTCCACTTTGTTAAGCTAATGGCGGGTTGCTATTTCACTTTTCTTTTTTTCTGCTAGTATCACAGAGCTCTGTATTGCTCACCAATAAGACCTCTATAGTTTTAAGCAATACCTTTAGTGTGAACTAATCCTAACCCTCTTCTTTCAAATAAATTCAGTCACCTCAGACAGAGCTGCAGAGCACTTATTTTTTCAGCTTGCCTACCATTCTGGGCACAATATTTGTGCCACTGCACTAGATCTGGGTATGAGGATGGCAGCCTGCTACAAGTGGAGTGAAATGAGTAGCTTATGAGTGGTCACAGGGAAGGGGGATGGTATCCATTTGTCTTTGCAATTGCTGTATTAGTCTATTTTCTATTACTATAACAAAATACCCGGGGGCTGGGTACTTTGTAAAGGAAGGATATTTATCTCACAGTATGGAGGTTCAAGATCATAGTGCTAGTATCTGCTCAGCTCTGATGAGGGCCTCCTGGCTATTATATCACAACACAGCAGATTGCATCATGGTGGGAAACATGTGCAAGAGGGTGGAATCATATGGTGACAGGAAGCCAGAGAAACTTCAGGGCCAGGTTATTTTTAAAATGATTCTCATGTGAACTAACTGGGGTCCTATGAGAGCTACACTAATCCTTTCCAAGAGAAGCACCCTCAATGAGTTAAGCACGTCCTCTAGGCCCCACCTCTTCAAGGTTCCACCATCTCAACACTGCCTCCCTGGGGACCATATGTCAACTACAAGAATCCAGGCTGGACGTCTGGAGCGCGACCCTAGGCAGCGGTCTCCATCGAGGACTGCCACCCCAGCAGCGCCTGCCCCTCGGTCCAGACGGAGTGAGGTCGAGGGAAACTCAGGAAGCTACACCCACATGTCGTGGTCCTACCCCGCCCGCTGCCGCCGCGTGCGCCTGGTGGTAGCCATCGACAGCCAACCCGGCCGCGAGGGGGCGCCGCAGGGCCCGCGCACCATGGCGTCCCGGGGCGCCTGCCTGGGCCTGCTGGCCTGGCTCCTGCTCCTGCAGCTGCAGCTCGGCGAGGCCTACGCATCCGCCGCGCCCCTCACGTCCTCTGGGCCCACGGGCGGCGAGGTTTCGGGAGCGAGCGGTCAGGAGGGGCCTACAGGGGAGTCGGAGGCGCACACAGACGCCGCGTCCATGCAGACACGCACCCAGGTGGCTCCCACGCACGGCCCGATCGGGGTGCTGCCGCACCTGCTGGCCTTCTCCTCGGGTGAACACGCCCCAGGTGAGCCGGCTGCGGTGCACTGGGACGCAGGGGTCGCCGGGCACGGGCTGGCAGGCGGGACCTGACTCTTCCAGTCCTTCTTCCTGCATATCCTGGTCTAGTGTGTGGCCGGCCCTTCCTGAAGATTATTGGAGGCTTTAACGCCGAGGAGGGGAAGTGGCCCTGGCAGGTGAGCGTGCGCATCAGGGAGGAGCACGTGTGCGGAGGCTCTCTCATCACCGCGCAGTGGGTGCTGACCGCCGCGCACTGCATCATAAGGTGAGGGGCAGATGGAGATGCCGGGTCCTGCAGGCGGCCCTGCTCTCCTCCAACACCCCTTGGCCCACCACCCCGGCGAACTGGTTAAAAAAAAAAATTCGGTGGAAAGGGGAAGGTTTCTGTACTGCCCTTTCTTTACTAAAGGTGCTTAAGAGGATTTGGAGGGAGACCCAAAATGAGAAGATTTGGTGCTAGAGATGGGGTGTTGGGGAGAGTGGCGAGGAAGGTTGGGGTCATGCTGGGAACCATCTCGGACGGGAAGGGCAGGAGGGACGCTTCCCAGGGTGAGGAGCATGTCCTCTCTCCCACAGTCATTTGCAGTACAGCGTGAAGATGGGAGATCGGCATCTCAGTACACAAAAGACAAGTCTGGTGATCCCCATCCGGAACATCATTGTCCATCCTAAGTTCAGAACAGCTGCAACGGTTATAAATGACATTGCCCTTCTTCGCCTCCTCTACCCTGTGAATTTTACTTCTACTATCCACCCTATCTGCGTCCCTTCTGAGCTTTTCCATGTGCAAACTGGGACCAAGTGCTGGGTGACTGGGTGGGGCAAAACAAAACAAGAAGGTAAGACTTCCAGATCAGAAGCAAACTGGGGAGAGAGGAGAAGCAGCCTTATCCTTGAAACAGAAATGAAGGCCAAAGAGAGGGAAAGTCAGGGAGGTAAAGGGATTGCAGATTAAGAGCAGTCAAGGTAATGGGTCCTGAATGGCTTGGGTGATCAAGAAATTTAGAAAAGTCACTTTGCCTGGGAATTGGAGTTGCTCAGCCAGGAGTTGAAACGTATGCTCCTTATGCAGATTTTGGGGGCACCATGGTGAGCTGGTTTGAGGGATTTTTGTGTTTTTTTTTTTTTTTCCCTCAACAAGGAGATAGCTAGATACATGGAGTTCTCTCCAGAGAGGATTTCTGCTCAGGGGGTGATGAACTGTCTGCCAGTCAGAGCTGCTTTTCATTGGGAGTAGCTGTCTTTAGGATAGGGAGCTTCTTGTCTCTTGAAGTGTATGCAGAACCTGAGATTCCTGTTCTGGACCTGAGGCTGTACAGCTTCCTATCCATGGGAAGAGGCTAGATTGTGACATGCTACCCGCCCAAGAACCTGTGATCCTCCCCTAAAACAAGAAGTTGATTTACTGATGCTAAGGACACCCTGTCACCATTACTATCAAAACTCAAGAGTGACAGATGCTTGGTTGTCATTTCTCAGGATACTAAGAACTTGCCTCTCCCCCTTCTGAAATATTCTTCCTTTTCCTGTCTTGGTTTTGCCTTTTACCCTGCCCTTCCCTGTGTCACCTTTGGGCCTCAGATCCCTCATGTGTCAAATGGGGACAATACAAACTGTCCTACTGTCTTCCAGGGTCAGACTGGATGCAGGGGGCTTACTATTGACTTGTACAGATTCACACCCTGCTTATCTTCTTCATTAGCGGACATGAATTCAACAGAGATTCTACAGGAAGTGGACCAACAAATCATCCTTTACCAAGAATGTAATGAGAAGATACAGACAGCCTTGTCATCTAAAAGGGATCTGGTCTTGAAAGGGATGATATGTGGTGATACCAAAAAAGGAAAGGATTCTTGTCAGGTAAGTTTGCATGCCCTTTCCTCATTCTCAGGTGCAAGTCCTGAGTTATTTGTGCCTCCTCCATTTACCCCTAGTTGAGCTAAGGAGGTACACAGGGAGTGACCCCCTAGATTCTCTTAGCTGGTATGGCCTGTTCCTTCAAAAGGGAGCAGCCCTGACTGTCTGGGGCACTGCTAGGGTGCTGAAGGTGGGCTGGGTGATGTCCACATTGTGTTTCACTAGTTGAGCTCTCCTGTGCAGCACTCACCCCGCCAGTGTAAGTGCTAGCCCAAATGATCCCAGTTAACCCACATCACGACCCAGCAACACAGACACAGTGCCTACTATTCATACGGGGAAGGGGAGATCCAAGGACATCAATTCAAGGTCGTCCTGAGAGTACCTCTATGACTCCCAGGCCCATGTTCTTCCCTCTCCACCAAACTTTGTCCCTGAGGAGGAGGAATTTGGGCCTAGTCTTATCAGATGCATATTTGCGTGTATTGGAAAGAATTTTATTGTTGGAATGAACAAAGAAGAAGTTCCAAGAACCCTGAATATTTTGATTATCACCTGTGCAGAGAGAGGGCCAAAGACCTTACCTCTACTGAATGATTTCTCCCTTCTGTGAACTCATGTACCCAACCCCATCTATCCATCAGCTCTGCTACCTTCAAGACTTTGAAACATTCCAAGAGAAACTCAGCCTTTTTTCCAAACCTGCTCCACTGTCCCCACTACCAGTCACTTCTGTGAGAGGCCCAGAGTCTTCATGTAGGGAGAGGGCTCAGCATGTACAGTGTCCCAGAGGTCTGGGGGCAGATCTTCAGTTGAAGGATGATTTAAACATGTAGAGCAATGGGGTAGCAGATGTGGCCAGAGAGGTGAGTGGGTGGGGTGGGGAGGTAGAGTGAGTCTGGGTGCAGGGCCAAGTTCTAGTCTGGCTCAGGCAGGACTGGGAGGGCGCCTGGGTGAGTGTGATTGGATTTTCCTTTTAATTCAGTGACTTTCTTGGTTGTGTGGTGCCTAGACTGAAATCTAAGAGCAGTTTTCATCATGTAGGGATCACCATTGGATCCCAAGCAGGGTATGGGGCAGCAAGGAGCCATAGGACATGTGTTTGAGGTGGAATGGTGAAGATCATAGGGCGCTGGTGTTGAGGGAGGGGCTGAGGAAGACCCTGGGTTTCTCCTGGAGGTGACTGGTGGTGGGGCTAGTGGAGCAGGTTTGGGACAGGACACGTTGACTTGTGCTGGAGTTGGAATATGTATGGGATGTGTTTGAGTGGACTAGGGGGAGTTTGCTACATAGGTCGAGAGTTTCAAAGAAACTTCAAGTTCAGAATAAGGATTTGGGGGCTGCAGAGCAGAGGTGATATTCAAAATGTTTAACGACCACTGAGGTTTGGGAAATGGCCATAATAACTTTTCAATTTCCATATTTACATATACAGTTCTCATGTTCACAGAAGCCTGGCCTGGACAGGGCCTGTGGGATGACCAAGGAAGCCCTATGTGTCTGTCTCCCTGGCACCTTGCCGTGCCAATTGCCTACTCTGACGTCAATTCCATTCCTGCAGTTTGTTTCTTTATCTTTCCCCAGGGAGACTCTGGGGGCCCCATGAGCTGTGAATTTAATGAGACATGGATCCAGGTGGGGATTGTGAGCTGGGGCGTTGCCTGTGGTCACTCAGACTTTCCTGGAGTTTACACTTATCTCAGCTTCTACAGCAAGTGGGTGGTTGCAACGGTGAACCAGGCTGTTCCTTTGTATTCGGTGTTGTTCCTCATTCTACTGGAGTGTCTTACGCTGCCTGTGGGCATCCTAGTGACTCTGTGATCACCCTGGCCCATTCCCCTTCTATTGCTGGATCTCCCACTAGGCCTCCAATCTCCTTTGCCTTTTCAATGCCCTTTATTTTATTTATTTACTTTTGGTATCAGGATTGAACTCAGGGGCACTTGACCACTGAGCCACATCCCCAGCCCTATTTTGTATTTCATTTAGTCTCACTGAGTTGCTTAGCACCCCACTTTTGCTGAGGCTGGCTTTGAACTGGAGATCCTCCTACTTTAGCCTCCTGATTTGCTGGGATTTCAGGCATGAGCCACCATGCCAAGCTCAATGCCTTTTCTTCAAATTCTGGTTGGAATCGATTGCCCCTGGGGAGCCCCACAGTGGAGCCTGGCAGGGGACTGGGGCCTGCAAGGTGTTCCAGCCTGGTGCTCTGCTCACCTGCCTCAGCCAACCCATGCCTGACCCATGTTCTATCTGCTGGGAATATGGATGAACTGATTCTAGCTAGAGGGCCAGCAGGCCTGCCATTCGGAGCGTGGTGACTCAGGGACACCTTGGAGAACATCTACCAAAGGAGAGAATTCATCACCGTGAAGGAAGTGCCGAACCTGGCCCTAGTTTTCAGGGTCTCCCTGAGACTTTGTCATACCAACCTGCAGAGGCAGTGAAGGAGGCCCTAGCAGGTCCCTGCAGAAGTGTGAGGCCTGGGACTTTAGCATCTGGCTTGGTGCCTGGAGCTGGCACAGGTTTCCCTGTACCCAGTGTGGCTCTGTGAGTGGGTAGCCTGTGGCACACAGGCCTCATGGGGCACCCCAGACTGGCACCTCTTCCTCAGGGCCCTAGTGGCTGCATTGGGGACACTCCAAGTTTTGTTGAGGCAGTTTTGAGTGTGGAGATTTCAGATGTGAACTCAATAAATGTTTGAAGACTGCTGTGTGTGTTCTGCTTCTGTACTGGCCTGGGGTGTGGGGACCCTGCAAAGAATGTTTCTCATGTGAAACTTAGGAAGATGTTGTGATTCTTCTTAGATCATAGAGTGAGAGGAGCGGCCCCTGCCTGCGCCCATGTGTGTTGGACAGATGGTTTTAGCCAGTTGGGTTCTGCTGTGGTGCTGCTCCATCAGCATTTCTGCATGGAGCTTTGTAGCGGAGTTTGCTCATTGTTGGCTCTGGGAAGCAGGAAGTGAGAGATCCTAAGCGAGAGGGAGATCAGGGAGTTACATCCCAAACTGTACCTGATTTCTGCTCCTCCCCCATATGTTTAAAGCCGTGAGCCCCCAGTAGGGTTGGTCAGGCCTTAGGGAAAACAAAGGGCTGAGGCTGAGGGAAGTGATAGATCAGGGTGCTTATCGCGTGGCTCAAGAGACTGATGATCATTTCCTCTGATATCTTTCCTTCTTCTCCTCCTCTCTTCTTTTTCCTTCCTCTCCTCCCTGGGCATATAGATGATCAAAATAAAGACATATTTCTATATCTTCCTCACATTCATGCATGATACATGTTATGGCTAAGTACATATAAACAGAAGTGTTGTTTTGAATTCTGGAAAATATTTTTGAAAGGAGGCCAAATTACTTGTTATTTATCCCTTCTTTTCTGGCTTGATTGTATATGTGGTACCTGGAGCTTGAGCATCTGTCTTGGGACAGGAGGTACATGCTATGCGTATGAGACAGCAATTCAGAAGGAATTTGGCTTCCTGGTGTTTGTAGGGATGACCCTGCAGCCCTTATCCAACAGAGAAATAAGCTTCACTTTTCATTAAGTCACTGTCATATTGAGTCTCAGTTACTCACAGAAAAATCTCATTACGGTTACTCAGATAATCATCTGGAGCTTTATTTCTGGATTGTTGTGAATGTAGATTTTTCCGGTTATTATTTAGACTCGATTCTTTTTTCTTTCTACTTCCCCATTTTGTTGTTTCCTTATCTATACTATTTTTTTAAAATTGATAAGGTTAAAATCTTATGTTGATGAATGATTATATTAACTCAATGTATTTCTATATTTTTATTTTCTTTACCAAAGGTATAGTTTGTACATAGTCAAATGCACAGTACCCCACCCCATATCCTCCAGATCAGGATAGAGAATATTTCCATCGCTCCAGGATGTGCCCTTTTGTCATCTCCTCCCAGAAAGAGCCACTGTTCTGATGATTATCAGACTAGATTCCCATGTTGTACATCTCATACAAATGGAATCGGAGAGTAAGTACTCTCTTGGGTCTGTCTTCTTACCTTCCGTGCATTTTGAGATTCATCCCTATTGTTACATGTACCATTAGTTCATTCCTTTAAAAAAAATTTGTTTTTGTAGTTGTCCATAGACAGCATGCCTTTATTTTATTTATTTAGTTTTTACATGGTGCTGAGGATCGAACCCAGTGCCTCACGCACGCGAGGCAAGCGCTCTACCCCTGAGCCCCAACCCCAGCCCCCAGCACTAGACTTTTGGTGTACATGTTTTCACTTCTTTTGGGAACAAAAGAGTAGAGTAGATATCGTGAGTAGATAACATGTTTAACTTGTTTAGAAATTTCCAAAGAGTTTTCCAAATTGGTTGGACCATTTTATACTCCTGTCAGCGATAAATGAGAGCTCCAGTTGACCCATGTCCTCATTAGTACTTTTATTTGCTCAATTTTAATAAGAGGAAGTGGTAGCTCACTGAGGTTTTAATTTGCATTTCCCTGTCATTTATGACATTGGGCACCTTTTCATGTGCCATTGATTACTTTCGTATCTTCTTCTTCTTTTTCTTCTTTTTTTTTTTTTTTTTTAATGTTTTTTACCTGTCAGTGGACATGCGGTGCTAAGAATCCAAACCCAGTGCCTCACACACGCTAGGCAGGTGCTCTAGCACTAAACCACAAACCCAGCCTCTTGTATCTTCTTTTGTGAAGTGTCTTTTCTTTTGCCCATTTTAATTGGGTTGCTTATCTTTTTATTGCCAATTCATAAGTATTCTTCAGATTAAAGTCCTAAGTCCAGGGCTGGGGCGGTGGCTCAGTGGTAGAGCACTTGCCTAGCACGTGTGAGGCACTGGGTTAGATCCTTGACACCACATAAAAATGAATAAATAAAATAAAGGTATGAAAAAAATGTTGTATCTGTTTAAAAAAAAGTCTTAAGTCTAATTTGTTAACTTTCTTTTCTTTCTTTCCGCTCCTCTCCTTCTCTCCCCTCCCCTCCTCTTTCTTTCCTTTATTCCTTTCCCTCCCTTTCCTCTCTCTCTCTCTTTTTCTTTCTTTCATTCCCAGGGATTGAACCCAGGGCTCTTAATCTCTGAGCCACATCCCCAGCCCTTTTAAAATTTTTGTATTTAGGGACAGGGTCTCACTAAGTTGCTTAGGGCCTCACTAAGTTGCTGAGGTTGGCTTTGGACTTCTCAGCCTCCTGCCTCAGCCTCTTTAAGTTGCTGGGACTGCAGCATGTGCCACTGTGCCCAGCTAATTTGTTCACTTTCTGAACTGGTGATAGCAAAGATTTTTCTTCTGTCTAGTATAAGCTTTATAGTTTTAGGTTTCTGATCAACAGATTAATTTTTGTTTATGTCATGAGAAGAGGATCCAGGTATATTTTTTCCATGTCTTTTATGTTTGTTCAAAGTGCCTTTATTTTTACTACCAATTGACAATGTATATTAGCACCTATTTCTGGACTCTATTCAGTTCCCAACCCATTTTTATACTCTTCTACCAATTAGGAATTTTCAAAAAAGTAGGGATAACTCCAGTCTTTGGGTTAGACAGTTCTTTAAACAAAAAAAAGGAGATAATGTGAGCATTTTCAGGACACCAGGAGATGTAGAAATCAGTATAAGTGTTATTCTGTTATTTTTTAAAAATTCAAAATGGTGGTAGGGCCATGAAGGAACATCCAGTATAGAATTTGCTTTCCTATTATAAACAATTAGAAAACTAGACAAAATAAATAACTTTTCAGGCATCAGGACAATAGATAGTCTAGAACTATGATCCCAGAAAACAGGGAAACAGGTGAGGTGAGACCTGTAATGATACTAGCTTCCTATGTGGGGGTTAATTTTCAGATGGCACAGGGAGGGAAACCCAACCAGCACTGAGTAATGTCACTAAGTTAAGGAGACAGAGATGGGAGTTCCAAAAGGCTGAGGCAGATCAGAATACTGTAGAGCAGGGATTCACAAACTATGGTTTTGGGGCCAATTCATGACCTAGTCTATTTTTGAATAGGCCTTCAATAAAAATGAATTACACATTTTAAAAAGGATCATTAAAGAAAAAAAGAATATGTGTGATGCAGGCACTGTCTCCACTAGCTTTCCCTGACACCATATGTGATACCATGTGTGGCCCGCAAGCCTAAAATATTTATTATCTGGTTCTGTATGGAGAATGTTTGCCATTCCCTGCTGCCTGGGATAGAGATACACAGTGAAAGAGAAATTTCCAGAAGGTTGGGAAAAAACCAATGTCAGAGAGCTGTAAGCTGAATGATTCTCAGCACTCATATGGTACTGGGAGACACTCAAGTTTAATCTGACCAGAGAGGAGGACCCTCACTGAGTACTTGGGCCGTCAGTAGAGACCTGGCAAAGCTCAAGCCTTAATATAGATAACCCTAATGTAGAGGCTGCTTTGGGCTCATCCTAACAAACTTGAAAAATAGCCTCAATTGGGGCTGGGGTGTGGCTCAGTGGTAAAGAGCTTTTCTAGCATGCTCAGAAGCCCTGGGTTTGATCCCCAGCACTGCAAAGACAAAACCAAAACCAAAAAAAAAAATCTCAGATGGATGAAGGTAAACTACAAGTAACTTACATGGATACCAAATTTTAAAGACAGATGATATAATTCAAATAGTCAATAATGTAACATTTACAGTGTTGAGCATTCATTAAGTATTTTTAGAAATGTGAAAAAGTAGAAAATTATGACCTATAACAGAAAAGTCAGTAGAAACAGATACAGAATGACAGTTATGATAAAATTAGTAGACAAAGATTTAAAAATACCTGTCACTAAATTTGCTTAAGAATTTTTTTAAAAAATGAACATAATTAGGAGAGAAGTTTAAAAAAGAGATCCAAATGGAATTGTTAGAACTAAAAGCTACAACATCTGAAGTGAAAAGTAAACTGGATTAGTTTATTCTAAAGAATAAAGTATTAGTAAAATTGAAGGCATAGTGATAGAAACCATTCTGAAGCACAGACAAAGCAATTTGGTCTGGTAATTTGATCTGTAGGCCAATATGAAATGATCTGACCCATGAACAATTAGAGTTCAGAATAAAGAAGAAGATAGGGGGAGCAAAACAAACAAACAAAACACAAAACAAAATTGAAGAAACAATGAGAATTTTACAAATTTGATAAAAACTAAGTCAGCATTCAAGAAGCACTGAATGAATGAGTCCCAAGCAAGCTAAACACAAAGAAAACCACATTAATGAACATTATTAATGAACATTATTAATTATTAATGAATATTAATAATTGAATTACTATTCAAAACTCAGTGATGAGTTAAAATTAACTAGAAAAAGGACATATTAAATGTTATAGACCTCTCTTCATGAGTAGGGCAAGTCAGAAGATACTAGAGCATCATCTTCAAATATTGAAAGGAAAAAAGTCAATGTAGAATTCCATTATCAAGTTAAAATATCTTCCAAAAATGAAAGTGAAGGAAGACTTTTATTAACAAAAGCTCAGCAAATCCCTTCCCAGACTTCAAGCAACATTAAAGGAAGTTTTTCAGGTTGAAGTAAAAGATACCAGAGGGAATCTTAGACCATTGCAAAGAAATGATGTGCTTCAGAAATGGTAACTTCATTAAAACATTAAAGGCTGTTTTTAAAAAAATTTTTAAATCACATCATAAGTGAAATGATGTAATATTATTTAAAGGTAAATTATGATAAGTTAAAGATCAAT